CGATTCATAACAGTAGCAAAATTACAGTTATAGAGTAGCAACAAAAATAATTTTATGGTTGGGGGTCACCACAACATGAGGAACTGTATTAAAGGGTCGCGGCATTAGGAAGGTTCAGACCCACTGCTCTAAGTCTTTTCTAGGTATATCTGGGGGCTGGGGTTGTGGGGTTTTTTTGTTTTTCTTTCAAATAATTGGAATCATTCTACTCTGGATTCAGCTTCTCAAATTTAACATCTCAATAGTATGAGCATGAATGCATAGGGCTGTTTCAAAATATACATGTCCAACCTGCCACCAGTCACCCTCTCTCTACTCCTACCCCCAAAACTCAGGGCCACCATGAACAGTAGTACAGGTTGTGCACTGCACAATTCTACAGAGTACTTACTATTCATGTTTGTAGCCACTGTAGATTTTTATACTTAAAACATAAATTATCTTAAGAAGGGGTATCTTTTTCTAATTTTCAAAAAGGTACGGTATGGGCTTGTGGCAGGGGCTGGAGCAGGTATGTCGGAATCTCCAAGGCTGTGTGAATTACAGCAGGTATAATTTGAACAAGCTCACTCCGATGATTCTGATCTGTCTCTCCTACCTCCAGCTGAGAAGGGCTCATTTATAACATGAGCATTTACCATTTGAGTAAAATATTTAAATATCTGTATAAAATGTACCAGGTTCTGAAGACACTGTTTTAAAAATAACTAACCCCTCCCACATTGGCTGTTTGGGTTGTTTCCAGTTGTCTGGCTATTATAAATAACGCTGTCAAGGACATCTTCTCATGTGAACCTTTGGCCCATCCACTCCATCTCTGATTATTCCTAGACTAGATTCCCTGAAGTGGAATTACAAGGGCAAATGCCCATGTCCTCATCGCATTTCTGTCCCAGCTCGGAGGCCCTGAGTGTGTGTTTCCTGCCCTTAGGGCGTGTGAACGTGAAAAATGAGGAAATTGATGACATGATCAAGGAAGCTCCAGGTCCCATTAACTTTACGGTGTTCCTGACGATGTTTGGGGAGAAACTTAAGGGTAAGCTCACGTGCATCTGTGTGTGTGTGTGTGTGTGTGTGTGTGTGTGTGTGTGTGAAAGAGAGCGAGAGCGAGAGCGAGAGCGAGAGCGAGAGCGAGAGCGAGAGAGAGAGAGAGAGAGAGAGAGAGAGAGAGAGAGAGAGAGACTGTCTGCCTTGTCTGTCTTTATGTGTCTTCATCTCTGAGTATGAATTAAAGCACTAGGAGAACAGACAGGGATTCGCAGAAGATGGCGGCAGAGTTACACTGGGGGGAAAAAAGAATAACAACAGCAGCTAACATTGCTCCAAGTTATATCCTGAGCCAGATCCCATGCTAAGCATTTTATATGCATTACCTCATTTAACAGCATCTAGGAGGTGGGTTCTATTCTTGTCCCCAGTCCACAGATGGGGAACTGAAGCTCAGAGACAGCAAGTCACTTGCCCGTGGTCACACAGCTAACAAGTGCTGGAGTCAGACTGAATCCCAGTCTTTCTAAATCTAGATCCACGTTTAACCTTGGGTTTGCTCAGAAATAATTGGATTCTCAGCTCACTCTTTCAAAATATCAAGGCTCAATGCTAGGAGAAAGGCAGGGTCTTTCCTCCAAGCCAAACGGCCTTCTCTGGTCCCACCCCCAGCTTGGGGAGGACTGGACCCTGCCTCCTGAGGTACCACAGGTTCCCAGCCACCCGTGGCATGTTCCAATCCTGTTTTCTGTTTCAGGGGCAGACCCCGAGGAGACCATTCTCAATGCGTTCAAAGTGTTTGACCCCGAAGGCAAAGGAGTGCTCAAGGCTGATTAGTGAGTGGGGTCTGTGGGGGCGGGGGCTCCCTGCCTGCCACACACACACCCAGCACCAACACCTGCTTTTCTCTCTCTGCAGCATTAAGGAGATGCTGACCACACAGGCGGAGAGATTTTCCAAGGAGGAGGTAACAAGACCCTTTGGACATTCTCTTTACTCCAGCTCTTGCCGTCACCCTTCCAGGGACTCCATTTCCCTCTTTTTAAAAAACACTCCTGACTCCACATTGAGAGAGAACCTGCTATTGTTTACTGAGCCCTTATCTCATTTCATCCTCTCAATCACCCTATGAGGTAGAGTCTAGTATTACTGTCACTTTATAGATGGGGAAACTGAGGCCCAGGGAAGTAAAGTCACTTGCCTAAAAGGACATCATTAATGGTAAATGCCAGGGCCTGGAATCAAACCCAGGTTTGTCTGACTCCAGGTCTACCTTTCTCACAATGCATGAAGCCCTGGTTAGAGCATCAGTTTCTTGATGGTGTAAGGGTGGTATGCAAGGTACCATGTACTGTGGCGTAGGTTGTGCACTGCACAATTCTCCTGGATGCCATTCTTATAATATGGATCCTAGAGTATGTATTTGTTTCAGTAGTTTTTCAGCACATGGCAGTAAAATTTTTAAAAAGTCAGAGTACATGACTTTTTCTGGCAGGTGGCAGTAAAGTGCCTGAAGTAAGGGTCCCATATGCTAATTAACCAAAGGTCCTATATGAACAAGCAACAGTCCTGTCAATATTATGAATGAACTTTAATGAGTCTATTTAAAATAGCCCCTCCCCAGGCTTGAGTCTATCAAGTTCCACAGTTTATTAAAATTTTTATTTAGCTTTTTTCCTCCAAAACTCAAGCATTTAAAAGAGCCTGCCTTCACCTCCCACCAGCTTTGTGACTTTGGACAAGCTCTAACCTCACTGTGCCTCAATCTCCTCATCTGTAAAGTGGGAACAATACTAGAACCTACCTCATAGTATACTATGAGGATTAAATGAATTAATACGTGTAAAGTGCTAATATGGGCAATACAAGTGCTAGCTTTAATAGCCAGTATTTTTTTAATAACTAGCCAATACTTTTTAAATGTGGAAATTGCATGTTTAAAAAAAATTTTTGGATTTCTAGTTTCCCCCAAGAAAATCAGATTCCCTCAGAATCTGACCTCCTTGCCCATGTGGCCACATTCGGCTGGCCCTGAGCAGCTGCCACCTCTGCAGATGGGCTGTGTGTCTCCATTTAGCCACAGTCCCCACCAGGCCAACCTTGCTCCCTTACATAACCTGCCTAGCCCCTTTGCACACTTGAGTTTGTCACCCCCGCTTCACCTATCACAGGCTGGGTTCCCAGAAACATCCCTGCAGGGTGTACTTGGGGTCAGCACCTGTGGAAGGAAGGACAAGGAAGCACAGAGGGAGATGATGACCCGAGGTTCAGGCCCAAAGAGTGTCTTTGTCAATGTCCCCTGGGGCTAGAAGAGCCCTCCCAAGAGGTCCCAAGTGGGGTCCCACACTGCTCAGTTGGCAATGAGCTGCCCCAGGAAGGGTGTGACNAGGGCCAGTGACACTGCCCTCTACAGCTAAGATGCTGAACAACAGCTCAACCTGGAGCTGGGCTGCCGTGAGTCGCTGGCGACAGCGTAGGCTGCAGCCATTGCTGCAGTGAGTTGCCATAGGCTACTATGTGTAGTCAGCAGCCAGCATGAGCAGCCAGCAGCCGCAGTGAGCGGCCGGCCAGAAGCCGGCGACTGATCTGCCTCGCCAGAGAAGAACGCAATGATGGTGTCAACTTGGGCCAGTGAAGAACGTCCTCCACAACTAGACTGAAGAACAAAATGACAGCAACTTGTCTGTTTCCCTTCCCCCAATTTCCCAGCAGTGTTCCCATCCCCCAATTAAAAAAAAATCTTTAAAAAAAGGCATATCTTTCTCTTCTAAGATTTTTTAAATATGAAGCCTTCGCATTGGAAATCAGTATTTTCAGGATTTATTCAACAGGCATCTGCAGCTCTATATAAGCTCCCAAAGGCACACTTCTGGAACTTCAAAAAGGAGCTCAGAAGCTGTTCTGGTCCAAACATCATTTTACAGATGGGGAAACTGAAGCCCAGAGAGGGCAGAGATGCGCCCATCCTTCATCAGACACACCCGTCCTAATACCAAAGACGGGATGTGTAGGTAAGAGAACGTATCATCCTGGTAAATGGCAAGGATCTGGTTCAATCCTGTTCGGGAAACATTTCCTGCGTAGGTCAGTTTCCGGCTGGAATCCTCACATCCCTCTCTATGGACTGTCTCTGTAACCCCACTCGGACCAGTAAGGAGCTCCCTCCTGGGAAATGACTCAGGGTCCTGCCAACTCCCAGACCATCCTTTCATTCTTCCTTCAGATCTCTCTGCCTTCAAAGATCTTCCATGCAATACTACATATGGCCACCAGAGGGCAGTGGCGAAGCGTCTAAACCGGCGGTCGCAAACTCAAACCCAGCTCCTCCCGGTGAAGGAGGGCCCCTGAAGGGAGTTTACAGGGGCAGAGGCACTCGGTTTCCCAGGGGAATGTGGCCTGGAGTTGTCAAATCTGATTTTCTAAGAGGAACCAGAAATCCAGATTTTCACGTTGAATATCCTGATTTTTAAATGTTGGCAACTAATAAATTTAAAATTGGGGGGTGGCAGGGACCAAGCAAAAGAAGAAATGAAAGCTGCATTCATCCAGTTCACCACCTCTGATGCCAGCCCTCCAGGTAGGGGTGAAGTCAGATGTTAGAACCCTAATTGTTTATAACTTTTATAAAAATCTGAACCCTAGTTTGAGCAGAGGTGCCACAGAAGGCAAAATGGTAAGGCCCCAAGCATCCCCTCCAGGGACCTATCCTACACCTCCACCCCTTTCATCCAGGACTGCTCCATTTTATCTGTTTTACTTCCTGGTGTTTCCTCCTAACTTGGGTTTAAACAAAAATGCTCTATAGATTTTTTAAACTAAAAGTTTGGAAACTATTGCTCTAGTCCAAGTATGTCACTCTACAGGCAGGGAGACTGAGGCCCACAAAAGGCGGGAATTTGGCCATCTTTCATCAGACACACTTCCCCTAATGCCAGAGACAGACTGTGTGGCCAAAGGAGGGCGCGTACCCTCAAGGTGAATGGGAAGGTCAAGGTCAATTACTGTCTGGGAACCATTTCCTGGGCCTCCCATTGTGTGCAGGGCCTTCCTGGGCATCAGGAATGCAGGGAACACACTGTTTGACAGACCCCTGGAATAGCACCTTCCGAAAGGGAGACGGAGGGCCATTCAAGCTCATCTCCCCCACCCCACCCCTACCCCCACACTGTACTGGATATTCTCCTGGAATTTATCCACCTCCCTTTCCCTGCCCGCCTCTGCCCCAGGCTAAGGGTTTTCCTTGCCCTCTGGCTCAGGTTGGGCCCAGCCAAGGAGAAGTGCCAGCCTGACGGTAGGAGAGTGAGGCTGAGGGGTACTTGCCCACCCCTTGGCAGGTCACTACTTTGGCCACATCCTTCCGGGAAGGACACACAGACAGCCTTCTGCACACACCTCTCTACTGATTCCAGAAACTGCTCCCTCCCCTCGCCAGTCCTGGAACCCTCCCTTCTTACTC